ATTTGTCTCCGACGTCGTTCCTCTTTCCAGCCGTGGCCTTATCATTATGTTGCATCAGGACACTGTGCTTGTTGACGAACACCTTCCATATTCACAAAAAAGCTGCTTGAGACTCAGTGGTATGGCACGCTGTCAGTGCACGGTACTGTGCACTGACTCTGCATTACAATGAACTCCTACCATCCTCGGTGACTGTAAGGTGTTGTGACTTTTTGGACATAAATTGGTTCCTGGTTGAGGAGCATTTTCATGCTGTCGTCTTTGAGGTCCATTTGCACATCAGGTTGAGAAGAGACTCAAAAATATCTGTTAAGTGTTTTATTGCATTAGCAATTTATTCATGTAAAAAACTCAAAGGGAGGCTGTTGGGATTCTGATGAACAGAACATTTAACTCTGGACCCAAGGCCTGTGGAGGGACTGATGTGTTTGTGTGTAGCACAAATAAGTATCCCATGTGATGAATCTTGTTTTTCATTTAATCTAGAATATCAGTGTTTACAGGTTACTTGTTAAATTCAGCACGATTCGCACCAACACCCATCCTGAAATAATTGACCTCTAAAAATCAGGCAAAAAGAAATAATACAAATGTTTACAATATATGAAAGAAAAAAAAGACCACTGGATAAAACCAGCTTCCATTCAAAATGTAAAAAATAATCAGTTTAAGTTTAGGAAAGCAGATGTATAATGACTCTTCTGCCCTTTTCTTTTTTAGTGGCTGCAATCTGTTTCTTTAGCACATTTCTATTTTACTCCATCTGTCATTACCATCTTGAATAAGGAAGTGGTGAAACTGTGTGTGTGTGTTAAGTACATGTAGACAGGTGTGTGTGTGCGCTTTATTGATGTATTTTAGGGGGTGTCATAGATTAGCTGAAGTAGAGTTTCCATCTGGTGTAAATGAAGTTTTTATTCTTATTAAATCACTCGCTTTGTGCTTTGAGGCTATCGGCTTTCTCCATCTCACTGGGTGAAAAGACTCAATATGTCCACATTAGTTATGACCGATATTGTTTACTTCCCCAAAATAACGCATACAAGGACAAAGGAGACAATCGTCTTCAATCTTTCATACAACAAGGTGTAAAATCTCTCTCCTTCCACTTTTACGTTCTTCTCTACCATTTCACACTCATGCTTTCTCCTGTTGTTACGTCACTCTCATGCTGAACATCTAGATTTATATTTAATGTAGATAATTAGGTATTTTTTTTTACAAAAGAAAACCCCATATTGTTTTATAATTTCATAAGTTGTGATACGTAGTTGATGCATTGCACAAAGAAGCAGCCTGGTGATACACCATGTTGTAAAATCCATAGCTTTTCTTTCAAAACTAAAGATAATTTCTATTCTCACTTAAGAGTCAAATACAAATCAGATGTTGATACAATAAAAACATAAAGACCTTATTAACCTTAAGCTGGGAGATCCTGAAGACATTTCCACAGAAAACAAACTTCTTCCATTTTTCCTAAAGAATCATGAATAATCAAAATTTGCTATGCAAATTATGCACAACTGAGAGAGGTAACTAAACAACACAAATACCACCGTATTCAGAAATGACTCGACTCCCTGTGGAAGTCAAAATGTCATTTATTGGTGGGATGAAAGGCATTTGGGGAAGAGCTGCTCAAGAGTCGTGTTTAATGCTGATCTTGGACTTCACCAGGCTCCTCTGGGCCTTTAAATCATCTTTAGTGATCATTTTAATACAAGCAGGTATAGTTTTGATCATGTCTGTGCTCTGATGGAACAGCACATTATATGTGTCATTATTCAGATTGAGATTGTCACACACTGTCAGTATTCCTTGATATTACCTCTTATTTCTCTCAAGAGCTTCTCAAAAGATTTAATGCTCACTACAGGAGTTTAAAAAACTAGAAACAACATAACATAATTCACACAACAGCGTTTATAGGATACGCAAGAAATAAAACAAACAAAAAAAAGCATACTATACAGAATAGAGTAATAATAACAAGGGCGTCAGTTTGTTTTCAGAATTGCTGGGGACAATAACCATACACTTGAGTGGGGTTTAAAAATTGCTGGGGACAATATAGGCTAGCACAGGGGTCGGCGGCTCTGTAACCGCATGCGGCTCTTCCATCCATCTGATGCGCTTGTAAAATAATGAATGGGTATTTAAATAAAAAGCTTTATATTTTACTGCATTAATTTTACATCTGTATGCTAATTCTAAATGTAAAGATTGTCTGCGTAAACCTGAACAGGTCCAACCCGGTCTTACTGTGAGACCGGGTTGACGCGTCACGCTTGTGCGTAATCATATGCGCTTCCTGAGCTGGAGGATGTCAGATTCTGGGATTCTCCTCAGACGGCTCCTGGATGCGTCGCCACATTGGAGACAGGAACAAGCGCTTTTCAGCCAAAGTTTCATAATCAGGGAACATTTTCTAAGTGACAAGTCTCTGAGAGACAGGGTTTGGAAAACACTCGCTTCAGTGGGAGGAACCTTCTCACATGCGCTCTGGTTCTGAGAGCCTGGATTTGTATTCTGAACAGTCTAAACATGTTTTTAAAAGAAACGTATGACAAAAGTGGTACCTGCTCAGTAAAACCACCAACAGGGTGAAAAATATCAAAATATTGTAGGCAGAGACGGGCTACAACTTCTGGATCATCTTTATATAAATCGTTTTATTGATTATCTTCTTATGAAAGATAACTTTGACGTACACGAGCGACCAGGCGCGTTGCAAGATTTTCAAAAGTGTGGGAGATGTTGTCTGTGCCTAAAATAATTTGATGTTATTCACCTTGTTATAACCCTTGTTTCCATAATAGCGGAGCAGGTGCGAATTTTAGACGCGTCACGCATGTCTCTGTTTTAAACATGTTTAAACTGTTCAGAATACAAATCCAGGCTCTGTCTCGTTAAATTGGTGTAACTAAAGTTTGTACTGAATGAAATTTTACATTAAACCATGTTGAAAAGAAAAGGATCCGATTAAATCATTTCCCCCTCATTTACAGTCACGACGTACAGCGCAGTGCGCGTGGCTTTGGGGTTAATCAAGTTTAGTTGTTTCTCTTTGCAACAATCTTCACAAGAAGGCAAAACAGTTAAATGGCAGGTTACATATATTTCCATTTGACTGTATTTTGAGGGATAAACTCAAGGATGCTGGCTGTTTTGAAAGAATTACCCCGACGCACACTGATGCGCATGGATGAGCTTGGAAAAATGTTCTTTTTATGAAATTATTAAACTTTGGCTGAACAGCGCTTTTCCCGTCTCTAATATGGAGACGCATGACGCATCCAGTCTGAGGCAGAATAGCAGCGCAGAAAGCAACTGTAGAGACATTTGATTACGCACAAATTTTATGTGGAGCAGAAGCGGTCGGGCCACGGCAGGTGAAATGTTCCTAGCCTACATGAAGTGAAACTGTTTAATTGTAACATTAATATGTTACTGGACACGCTGGTCTGGTTGGTTAGACCAGTGTTGGAAGTGGAAAACACACACACACACACACACACACACACACACACACACACACACACACACACACCAATTAAAATAATGCTGATAGCATGGACTAGAAGACAGGTGATGGTTTTATTTAAATGATGATCAGGCTGCTGTAAAATGTAATCTCCATCCACATCCAGACAGAATGATCCTCTACTCTATTTGCTCTGCTCTTGTCTGGGCTGACGTAGCTGGCGGTGTGCGCGGCGCGCCTAACGGCTGTGGTGCACATTTTACGCATTTGGAGAGGTGGGCTGGATGCTTTGCTTTCACTGGAAGATGGTCCACTTAATGCACGGGTGTAGACTACATATTAATGACAAATGAATGAAAATTAAATTGGGAGTTTTTACTTCATATTTTAGAAATAAAAATGATGGGGTAAAACATTTATGACGTATTTTAAACGAAATTTTCTAGCGGGACCTGCCTGCTTCACTTAAGTCACTGCTTATTAAGGTCCATCCAAAATTACCGTGGCCCACCCAAAAATGAAAACCTGGCGCCGCGCCAGTTATAAACCGCTGCAAATTGTTGTTCTTCACTTTATCAAACTCAGACTTTGTACAGCTAATGTCAAGATGTAAAATGATGAATTCAGTCGAGCTCTTCCGTCCCTCCCTCTCCTGCTCTCCTGGAAACCCGACATTGGCTGTCAGAAGCGGGAGTTGAAGAAGGAGATGAGGCAAACAGAGTGAGTGCGACATAAAGAAACCAGACTGGTGTGGAGGTGAGCAAAACAGCTGGAAAAGTGTGGGTGTTGAATCCCCCATGGGTGCGATGTCCATGTGAGCGACCGGTACCTGCTGCTGTCACCTGGTTGTGAGCAGCTCTCTGCTGTCTGAGGGTAGGCCCCGCCCACAACGCTGCGGCTACTGCGGTGTTTTCTTTACTGTGGGAAACGGGTAATAATGGCTCTTTGATGGGAACAGGTTGCCGACCCCTGGTATAAGATCTGAGCTGGTAAAACAAAAATCCTCATCAGCAGGCTTTTTTGAAAGTGGGGGGGACACAGCTGCCAATCACAAATTTTGCCGGGGACATGTCCCCGGTGTCCCCGGTTAAAATGACGCCTATGAATAATAATGTCTATCTCTTTTTTTGAAGATTTATTGTTTTTAATTTTTTTCTTTAACCTTCCTGCAAATCTCAGTGTGAAAAAGCCTTAAACAAGAACACACATAATAATGACGGTTTGACCTTGCATATATGGTCCTATAGTCTTATTTTAACATATAAACAATAGTTTTTCTGACATAAGCATGAATAATTATTATTTTTACCACAGTAAGTTATTATGATTAATATTCACATGCTACTTACAAGACCATAATTATCATCTGACTAATCAAGTCAGTGTTCTGGATCAGCTCCTGCTCAAAGCCATTGAAATGTAGTAAACAAAATATAACAGGTTATTTGATGGTAATGAATGAGTGACTCTGTCTCAGGGTGTCTAGATTTGTAGAAAATATAAATCTTCTTACCTCTGATCTGAAGAGATCCCTCTGAGTCTTGAGTGAGGACAATGTGCTGCTCCCTCTGTCCACTCGCCACCTTGTCTGCTGCTCTCTGTTCGAGCCTGACTCCTGATCATGCCCATACGCAAAACACACACACTCTCGCTTCCTGACATCATCTCTCCCCTTCACTTTCTCTTGCACAAACAGAAGCACTTAAACCCCCATGTTCAAATCTGTCCACGGTTTCTACATTCAGGGACTTTATCCGTGAGTCTTTCAACACATAAACGCTGACAGGTGAAGCCACATTTAAAAAAAATTCAAATGCTTTTTATTTGTTTGTTCTTTACCACCACATTTGGAGATTTTTCTTTGAACCCTTTTTGGTTTTCTGACAGGGAAGTGAAGCAGCAGAAGCTCCCACAGCGCAGAACTCTGTGTGGTAGCTGCTGAGGTGGGCTTATTTCCCCTAAAGAGAGAGACAAGCAGATTTTTGTAACTGGAAATAAGCTGCGCTGCAGCTATTCATGACAACAAGGTGACAGACTCCCTGTGTGGATCCCCTCTGTCACTCAAAATCAGAATCAGCAGTGCTTTTGTTGTTGTTTGCACGCACCTTTTCCTTATTTATTGCAAAGCTTTTTGATGAACTCAGATTGAATATTCATGTAAAAGTCATACAATTTAAGCCAATCAGCTCCTGTGTGAACCAGGCTGTTATGCCAATGATCACCTAAGCCACACAAGCTGTGCTGCTGTGTTGCCTGAAAACAGATCCTCAGTTTCCCAATCCAGCTGAGAGGACTGCATTTTGTGACAGAAACTTGCTGAAATACTCGGTGATTGATAGTTGGCAGTTGCTAAAGGTCAGGACTCAAACGTGATCGCTCCTCTCTCTTTCAGGTGAAAGATGGAAGAAATGGTGAAACTTAAAGGGGCAATATGTAAGAATGACATCCTGTGGTCAAATTAAGTTACTGCAGTCCATTTTCTTAAGCAATAAAATCACTTTCTCACTGCCGTTTCGTGAGTTTCATGGCTGTTTCCAGTTATGGATCTGATGGTAAATGGCCTGTACTTGTATAGCACCTTCTTAGGGTTCTGCAACCCCCCAAGGCACTTTATAACACAATCAGTCTTTCACCCATTGACACCCACATTCACACAATGGTGGTGATGAGCTATAATATAGCCACAGCTGCCCTGGGGCACACTGACAGAAGCGAGGCTTCCAAGCACAGATGACACTAAGCCCTCCAACCACCACCAGCAGGCAAGTGGGTTAAGTGTCATGTGTAATGTATCAAAAGGGTCAGTTTTCACCATCGAATTAACACTGTAACCTTTCATGCACGCCAGAGCTGCAAAGTCAAGGTTATGCCAGCTAGAGGATCCAGACGCACAGATCAACCTTTTGCTCACTCATTGTTCTTCAATGCAAACATAAATAAACTGTCAAGGTCTACCGCAAAAGCCCTTATCTCTCTGCTGAAAGTCAGACTGCTGAATTCCTCACTCTGAATAAAAGTGAATCCACACAAATCCCACAAGGCTTTACAAGTTATAAGTTAAATAATCATATGTGGTGAATGAACAAGATGTTTAAATGAAATGTTTGAATAATCTGTGCTTAAACTAATGAATTTGAAATGAATATTGTTCTTACAATGATCCATTTATGTCACAAATCACTATGTGTTTGATTTAACAAGTTAATCATTGTTTACACTCATACACATTACAATATGATACATATTAAGGTTAAAAACATTTTTGTATCTGAAGGAAGGCGTGGCTTTCTGAGGAATGTTTTGGTAAAGCTTTCTGGACACGGCACAATCTGATTTGCAAGAATGGCCAGAAATCATGACAAAGTAGTTGATAAAACAGGAATTACTTCCCGAGTAATTCAGTTTCTAGCGGAGTTCTGAACCAGCCAATTCGGAACAAGCATCCTTGAGACATCTCTTTTGACATACAGTCAAAACCTGTTTGCACGCTGCAAGCTGGCACAGCCAGATGGCTCCCTAAGAGCCACATCCTCTTTGGACGCAAACAAGCATTCCAGCTACTGTTGTGACCTGGAGACATCTCAAGACTGGACGGGTCGTATCGGAGTTTAATCTATGAAATCCCGGTGCCGTGAGGCCCACTCGAATTCTGACAGTCAGGATCTGCTGGGGGTCTCCGCCAGGGTTTGTAGACACAACAGATTGCGTCTGATGCTGTTTTATTAACCAGGCAATTCACAGCGCGATAAGACCTGCTGCCCTCCCCAGCAATCATTCTGACATTTGAAAGTAATTTCATTCATTGCCTGACTTTCTTTTTTTAAACAAACTCATGACCCACGTTACGGGTAACAGCGGTAGACAGAAGCAGTGAATAATTAATTAAAAAACAGGTATCACCTGCCATTTCTGTTATTCATGAAGGATAAATTTCACCTGAATCCTATGAACCCGAACCTGAACAGGGAGCGACGCATGATGGATCACCACAACCTTTCACGCTCTTACACTTTTAATTTTTATTCACAACACCACGGAGCAACTCTGTGTCCTTGATCAAAGCTCATGTCCAACTCATTTTGCAAAGGCAAGATAACTTTGTGAATATCTCACTTTTGAACCTGTTCATCAGCTCTGCATCATTATGCCTCACTCATTATCACCAAAATAGAAAATGTGGCACAGATAATAGTGAGATTTCAGATGTGAAAAGGAAACTAATCAATGCAAATGCCATCACTACAATGTCTGGCTGCATATCTGCTAATGCTGCAGCAGCTAATTAAAGCTTTAAAGGATTTCACATTTTGTAGATTTTTCTGATATTTACTTTGAACGTTCCACGTTAGAGGTTTAATCTGGTTTATACATATCAAATCCTGGCATTTCTGAATATTTTTTGAGTCAGGATTACATTATGTAGCAGCAGTCAGACCCTGACAGATTGAGAGCTTGTCTGACACCTCAACAGTTGTATGTGACAGATCCAGGCTTTAGAGGCAGCACATCTTAAAGTGACTGCCCTGACTCAAAAACTGTGCTTATTCAAAGGTACGCAACCTCGACTCTGCTGCTAAATGCCGTTTAGGATGTGTCTTATTATTTCTACGTTGATGATGTTCATTACTTTAAACCTTATTTTATCTTTAAAAATATACAGCCTAAAAATATCTTTGACAGGTTAAAGTCAAGCTGCGGCCCAAAACGATCTCCTAACACAAAGATTTTCAGCTTCTTGATCACGTGACGTGTGACATATGTAGAAGAAGATTGGCTTTAGAGCTGAGATGTTTGTTCTCACGGTGTGGAGGCTCGTTCCGACGCCCACACAGTAAAAAAAATGCAAATGACGACTTTAGTCGTCATTGGCAGTGAACGGTTGGATTTAAAATGACGACTTTAGTTGTCAATGGCAGTGAATAAGTTAACGAGAAATGATAAATATTAATGAAAATTTACTAGCTTGTGAACTGGAAACACAGGATTTGATAGTAAGCAAGGAAAATATTAAACACGAACTTTTTAAAGGGACAATGTGTAAATTTTACCGTTCATCTCTGGAAATATCCATTGAAATGTTGTTGAAAATGAATTATATGATTTTAATTTGTTGATAAATATTGGTGGGTTCATAACATATAACCATAAAATTTGGGTCTAAAATACATAGGAGCAGGTCTAAGTCTCTGGGTGACGCCATATTGGATGCCATGTTTCCTTCTACAGGAGCCCGTGAGGACAAAATGCATTTACTGATTTGTAAGAAAAGGTTACAAAACTTTCACCATTCATAAACGTTGTTGTTTTACACATTCACCTCTTTGCTCGTTGGCATTGTTAGAGGAGTCTGATGTTTGTTTCAGTATTTTGCAGACACTTTAATCCAAAGCCTAGGGCATGTTGTGATTTGATGTGCTCATCATTTTGCTTGAGGTTTTGCACCCAAGGATTTTTGACCCCAATGGCTATCTGTTGGTGAGGTCTTAAACACAAAAATACAGCTTACTTGCAATGATTTAGGAATGTATTGCCCCCTATTGCCTATCCCTATAGGGAAATCATACTTTAAAGAAGCAGTTGAAACCTTTTTTTAGACAGAGAATTTGTAGCAGTTGATTTAGTCTGTTTTACTCCTTTTTCCTTCTATTTATTTTTATGTCTGCTATTTTGTGCAAAGCACCCTTTGATATGTGTCACTCCTGAAGGGATGAAAATAAAGCTAGATTATTATGGTATAGTGTCGCAGGTAAAGCACAATTTAATCCTTTAAAATATAATAAAGTTCACTATACTGTCTCCCTTTTATTTAACCTTCATGAGTTTCTGTCATATTGACAGTGATATGGGCTATTTTGATCTGTGTCGCTGTCTCTGTAAAACCTGTCAGCTTTCACTCTCAAAGATAATCATCTTCCTTGGCTACCAACTTCTGCAAGAATTTGTTGTAAGTATGATAGTGAAGGACATTTGATGGAGAGTAAGATGTGGAATTGTTTTTTTCTTCTTCAAACAAAAAAAAAAAAAGTTTTCTAATAAGCACCTTGACACCCTGGGCAGTTCTTGTGCATAAGAGGTGTGACTGTACTGTCAAACACATATTCACCCATTACAAATGACTGCCACTTGAGATGTTTCTTATTAAACGACCATAAGTACTAAGAGACAAGACCCCACGGTTTATTGTAGCAGAGGTACATAGAATAAATCTGAACTGGTCATACAATTGCAACAAAAGCTGTCTTATAGCACAGCAGCAAAAATTTAATGAACATGAATTTAGTGGAATTATGTGGGCGGACTGAGTGGCTGAAAAACAACTGGAATGTGTGAGTGTGTGCAGAACAAAAATCTACAATTAACGCCCAGCAAAAAAAAATAACAAAAAAAGCAACTAAAAGGGTAAATAATTACTAGTCACCTCAGTTTTCAGGCTGCAGCCAAAGATTTTAGTTGTGAGTAATGCTTTGGTTCATTTTTGGGTTAGCAGCTCCCTGTAATTGTTTTATGTCCATGTCAAGAGACTGAAAGGCAATGCAAATTAGGACAAGATGAATTCACTTGCAGAAATCTCAACTAACGTTCACATAAATAAGTTAAGTTTTAAAAACATGATTTATTA